GTCCAGGGGTCCCCAAAGGTGTGGACAGAGTCAGGGAAGAAAAAATGACACGGAGACAGCGTTCAGTTGATCAGCAGCCTAGCCAGGATCTCTAGCCAGGCTCTCCATCCAAGTTCTGGTCTGGATCTCCAGCGAAGTTCTGGTTAGGATCTCCAGCCAGGTTCTGTGTCCATGTTCTCTTGCTAGGTTCTCCAGGTTCTCCAGCCAGGTTCTCCAGCCAGGTTCTGTCCAGGTTCTCCAGCCAGGTTCAGTCACCAGGTTCTAGTCAGGTTCTCTTGCCAATTTCTGTAGTCAGGTTCAGTCCAGGATCTTTTGCCATGTTCTCTCGCTAGCACCACTCCTCTTCTCCCAATATTATGTCACTTTCTCTCTGTATTTGACTCGCTTCTTTCATCTCACTTTACCCTACGTTTGGCGGTAACTGACAATTTGTGGGCATTTACTAGTAGCTGAAAAATGCAATTATTTAGCAAACAGGATTTATTTAGCCTGGAATCTAGTCAGCCTAGGGCAGGACCCTGCTCAATGTCAGGCTCCCACCCAGGCGGAGTCCTGTGGCAGCAGGAACCTCCTTCTTCCCACCTGAGCTGCTCCTTCGCCTTCTTCCCTCCCTGAAGGTTGCCTGCTGGCACTACTATCTGCCTGGAAAGGGGGAAGCCACAGCCAAATTGTCAGCCGAGACTGGTAGTGGGAAAATTTGCTGCCCCCACTGGAAATCGATATTAAGCGGATAGGCCGGTGCAGGAGCCAGACATTGGGCCTTAGCCAGTAGGTCCTGCATGTCTCATCATTTAGCTAATAGAGTCAAAAAGTTTCTGTAAGGGCCAGACCCACAACCTCTGCAATGGGCTAGAGGCCTTGTGGGGAGCCAGACCTGAAGTGGGGAGCCAATGGGCTAGAGGCACGGTGCACGGATTCATGCACCAGTGGGGTCCCTCAGTCTGGCCTGCGGGGATCAGGCCAAAACCGGCTCTCTGACATCCCCCAAAGAGTCCTGGATTGCGAGAGGGAGGTTCTCGGATGATGCATCCTGGAATTGGGCTCCCTCCTCTCTGGTTCTGGGTGCATCACCCAAAAACTGCAGCTGCCAAGTCACCGCAGCTTGGCAGCTCCTACATTGAGTGTCTGCCCCCTGGTGGTCAGTGCGCATCACAGCTACCAGTCAGCCAGTTGAATGGTCGAATGGTCAAATGGTCAACGGTTGGCCAGTCGCTTAGGCTTATATTTAGAGAGAGATTGTAAGTTATAATGTACCAATATGACATTTTCCTTCTCTAATTAAGAATCCTATAATGATTTAGTTGTTATATATTTAAATTAATCCACATATGCTATGATTCCTCTGATCATTAGTTGGATAGAATAGTCATTTTTTTTTCAAAGAAAGATTCACCATTGTATATTTCATGCTTCAATTGTTTGTTTTTAGAGGTCTATGTCTACTTGAGACTATCTACCTATTGACTTTATATTTGAATAATTACTCAGTTTGGCATAAAGCATAGTATTTTGGGGTTACATAATCCTTTTATTAGCTCTTTGTAGATTACTGCTACACTTCTAATGGTATCAGTTTGTGGTCAGCCTGATCTGCCCCTCCCACCTCTACCTCACATTTAGCCTGATTTTTCTCCCTAGAAAATTTTTCCATTACTTTCAAAGTTTTATGAACTTACCTAAGACATGTTTCAGTACATATCATCATTTATATTTTTTCCTGGAACATGATATATTTTTCTACAGATTCAACTCTTACTATTTCTGGAAATTTTTCTTCTGTTCTGCCTTTGAATACCTTCCCCATTCTGCATGATGGGTTCCTTACCTCAAAGACACAAATTATCTTTACTTTATTATATTATTTGCTTTCCACTTACTTTAATATCCTTTTCATTTATATTCACTGTGGTTATCTCAAACCTTCTTTCTTTGTTAGTTATTTGATTATCAGCCAAGTCCATAGTTGTTAAATTTAGGTTTTTTTTTTCTCTTTTTGGTTTAATTTTGCTTCTCAATTTTCTTCATTTGACTTCATTGTTTATCATCTTTTCTTTAAGGTTATCTTCTTTTATTAGCTTTATGTTTTTATCATGTTCTTCCACAACATAAAACCTTCCTAGAGAAATTTTTTCTGTCTCTTCAATTATGCTTTTTCCTAGCTAAGATTTGTCGTATGTAGCATATATTGCTAGTAGCCTACTTAACATCCATTCTTCCCTATTTTCTCATTTCCAGACCACTCATATTATCAAGGGCAATAATTTACCCAACTAAAAGGCAACATTTCCAAGACGCACAGCTAGTGATGGCTAACCCCTTTCTTCTTAGTTTTCCTATCCACACAGGGATATTTAAATTAAATATTCCCATATTTTCCCTTGTGCAGATACAACTTTTGTGCATTGGTTCATCTTTCTATGTTTGAAGACCTTAGTGTAATTTAAAAAACCTTTTTATTCACATTTCTTGCATAATGTGTGTGTGTGTGTGTGTGTGTGTGTGTGTGTGTGTGTGTGTTGAGGGTTTGAACTCCTCTAATATTTTTAGTTGCATATTTTGAAATGTATGTCATAAAGCTCTGTCCTTTTCTTTGAAAGGTATTTTGGCTAGTTTGATCCTATTTATTATTCTATCATTAGGGCTGGGAAAAGGGAGAGTTTCAGATGTTTTTATTCTACCACCTTAACTTAGAAGTCTGTACAAGTACTTTAAATAAATTTTAATCAAAGTAATACAAACAAATGGTCACAAATCAAATCATGCAAAAATATTGTGATAAGAGACGACTGAACTCAACTTCACTGTGTCTTAACCCAAACCTTATTCCCAAGAGACATTTTTTTTTCTTTTTGTATGTAAATGTAAATGGAAGAAGAATTTACATACTGTGAAGTACACACATCTTAAGTGTATAGTTTGATGAGTTGTGACAACTGCACATACCACTGTGACCCTCTCTATTAAAATATAGAATAGTTTTATCTCCCAAGAAAAATCCCTTATGCAACTTCCCCATTTACCCCCACTTTATTCCATGATCCCAGAAACAATCACTGTTTGGTTTTCTTTTATCATAGATTAGTTTGTTTACTGAAAAAATCCATATAAATTGAATTGTATAGTAGGTACTCTTTTATATCTGGTTTCTTTAATTCACCCTAAAACTTTTAAATTTTTTTCATGTTGTAGCATGTCTTAGTGCAGTGGTAGGCAAACTCATTAGTCAACGGAGCCAAATATCAACAGTACAACGATTGAAATTTCTTTTGAGAGCCAAATTTTTTAAACTTAAACTATATAGGTAGGTACATTGTTATTAACTTAATTAGGGTACTCCTAAGCTGGCCTTTGCTAAAAACATCCTCAATCTGATTGAGGTACGTCTGCTGAGGTCGACCCCTTCCAAACCTCCCATCCACACTCATCTTGTATACTTGTTTCATCTATCTCCTTTCGTTCATCCTCTCTATATGTCCAAACCATCTCAACATACCTTTCTCAATCCTCGACACTACATCTTCTTTCACTCCACAAGGTTCCCTAAAATTAACTTAATAAACTTTACTTAAAGTTTTAAGTCAACTTCGCACTGTACGTGCGCGCCCACATGTGGTATTTTGTGGAAGAACCACACTCAAGGGGCCAAAGAGCCGCATGTGGCTCGCGAGCTGCGGTTTGCCAACCACTGTCTTAGTGGATTGTTCCTTTTTATTGCTGAAGAGTATTCCATTGTCTGGAACATAATACTTTATATTATACTTTGCTTATCCATTCTGATGATGGACATTTAGTTCATTTCCAGTTTGAAGCTATTATAAAGAAAACTGCTATGGACATTATTGTACATATCCTTCTATGTACATATGTTTTCATTTCTCTTGAGTAAATAACTAAAAGTACTACTTAGAGTAGTACTTTTAACTTTATGAGAAACTACTAGAACAATTTTCAAACTAGTTATAGCATTCTACACTACCTCCAGCAATATATGAAAGTTTTGATTGCACCATATCCTCAACATTTGGTGTTGTGTTTTCACCTTTTCTATTTTAATAATTTTGTGGTATATGACATTGTGATTTTCATTTGCATTTCCTAAATGACTAGTGATTGATGTTAAGCATATTTTCATGTGCTTATTAACCACTTTTATGTCTTCCTTCATAAAAGGCCTGTTCAAGTTTTTTGCTGATTTTTATTAGTTTTTTTTTCTTTTTATTATTGAGTTGTAGGAATTGTTTATATATATGCTGAATATACGTGCTTTATCAGATATAGGTATTGCAAATATTTCCTCCCAGTCTAAGGCTCATGTATGTTTTATCAATGGTATCTTTTGATAAGCAGAAGACAAATTTTGATGAAGCACAAGTCTATCTTTTCTTTTTTATTATATGGTTAGTGATTACTAGCTAAGAAATCATTACCTAACCCAAGCTAATGAAGACATTTTCCTATGTTTTCTTTATAAAGCTTTTTTTGCTTTTATAATTTTATCTATAATGCATTTCAATTGAATTTTGTGTAGGATGTAAGGGATGAGTCTAGGTTTATTTTTGTTTTTATATAGCTAGTCAGTTCTAGTAGTACTGTTTGTTAAAATACTTTCCTGACTTCATCACCACCAAACTAGTATTATAAGAAATGTCAAAGGAACTTCTTTAAGAAGAAGAATAAAATATAAAAAATATGAATAACTAAAATGGCAATAACTACATATCTACATATCAATAATGTTCTAATCAAAAGAAATAGGGTGGCTGAATGAGGAAGGAAACAAGACCCATACATATGTTGTCTACAAGAGATCCACTTCAGGTTAATGACACACAGATAAAGTAAATGGATGAAAAAAGATATTTAATGGAAGTGGAAATGAAAAAAAAAAAAAGCTGGGGTAGCAATACTTATTATATCAGACATAATAAACTTTATTTATTTATTTTTTTCAGTACAAACCAAAAGACTTTATTTCTTAAACCAACTGGTAAGAAAATAAATAGTGAATAACACAAAAACCACAGGATCCTAGCCACACCTCCCACTGAGGTCTAAGGCAGGAGACATGGACACCTAAAGAGGGGAGGGAGAGGCCACAGTATGGCTCAAGAGTGCGGCCTGGACACAGGATGTGGGCAAGGTCTGGGTCGTGGCAGGTATGGCAGCCAGAGAAGAGGGAGGGTTCCCGAGGCGTGCCCAGGCCCTGGCCTGAGCTGCAGGGGTGAGGCAGGGGCCCAGTTTCTCCTCAGCCTGGGCAATTCGGCGGGCAAAGCGGCTTCGATCACGGGCAAACTGCTCCCAGGGGCTCCTTCGGGCAGCCTGGGCTGGTCCAGCCCAGACAATCAGGAAATGGATGGAGACCTTCTCAGAGAAGTGCACCTTTCTGGCCTTTTGGGGAGTCTCGGGGTCCAGATGCTAGGTGGGGGTTCCTACAGACTTGAGCCGCCTTTGCAGTCGGAGGGGCAGCCGAGGAAGAGGCCAGGGAGGTAGAAGCTTCTCTCCTGGTAGATAGATGGCCACTCGGAAGGGCTCAGCTTCTCCCCATTCCTCAGTAGCTTCCACTCCCTCTGTCTCCTTTCCAGGTGGGTATGTCCAGTTCCTGAGGAGGGCACTCTGGGCCTGAAGGGAAGAACTTGGGTCCGAGCCAGCTATCTCAGAATCATCTTTCTCATCCTCATTCTCCTCATACTCCTCCTCTGTGTCCTCTCCTGGCCGGTACACCCAGGCCCTCAAGAAGGTACTTGTGGGGGGAATGGAAGAGGGACCCTCAGCTTCTCCCTCCTCCTCAGATGCTCCTGAATCACTGTCTTCATCTTCCTCCTCTGTGTCCTCTCCTGGCCGGTACGCCCAGGCCCTCAAGAAGGTACTTGTGGGGGGAATGGAAGAGGGACCCTCAGCTTCTCCCTCCTCCTCAGATGCTCCTGAATCACTGTCTTCATCTTCCTCCTCTGTGTCCTCTCCTGGCCAACACACCCAGGCCCTCAAGAAGGTACTTGTGGTGGGGATGGCTGACAGACCCTCAACTGCCCCTGAAGCGTTGTCCTCCTCCTCTTCCTCTGTGATCTTATTGGGTTAATGCTGCCAGGTCCTGAGCAGGGGCCTGTGGCTTAGAACTGAGGAGTGTGGCTCTGAGTCGGCTTCTTTCTCAGCCTTTCCATCCTTTTCCTCAGATTCCTCCCCTGAATTACACTCACAGGCGCTGGGGCAGGAGCCTGCAGATGAAGAGGTAATGGAGGTCTTCCTGGTTTCTTCACTCTCTGTTCTTTCTTCCTCCTTAGCTCCAGCCTCTTCTTCCCCTGCAGCACACACCCAAGCACTGGGCTTGGATCCTGGGGATGAGGGGCAAGTAGATGTTGTTGGAACTTTATTTACAGCTTCTCCATCCTCCTCCCCCTCCACCCCTGGACAGTGCTCCCAGTGTGATGGAGGGAAAGAGAAGAATGTCATCACTTTATCTTCAGCAACTCCTCCTTCCTCAGTTTCCTCTTCCCCAGGAGGGTCTTGCAGGGTTCTCAGAAGGCTGAGGGACATGGGAGCAGGTTGGCCACCTATATAGTCACTTCCTTGCTCTTTAGGGATGCTGGTTGCTTCTTCCCCACCATATTCTTTATCATCATCTGAAAGTTCCCAGGCTTCAGGAAGAGAACTGTTGGCCTCTCGGTCAGGGCAGGCCGATCTGCCATCCTCCACAGCTCTTCCACTGTCTCCAGGCTCCCACTGAGGGTGCCCACCCCATGGGGCATAGTGCATGGCCAAAGCAGCCTTAGTCACTTCCTCCAGGCAAGCTTCTCCCTGATCTGCACTCATCACTGCTTCCTCCAGCCAGGGCTTTAGAGGTCCAGGGTTCATGTCCCTGTTCGGGCACCAATTGTTGGGGTCCAACCCCAGAAGGTTCAGGGGTTCCCAAAGGTGTGGACAGAGTCGTTGAAGAAGGAATGACACGGAGACAGCATTCAGGTGATCAGCAGCCTACCCAGGATCTCTAGCCAGGATCTCCTGCCAGATTCTGTCCAGGTTCTCCAGCCAGGTTCTGACCAGACATAATAAACTTTAAAACAAAGACTTTAAAAAGAGACACACAAAAAAGACATTTCATATACAATAGCCAAGATATGGAAGCAACCTATAAATGATATAGAATGAAATCTTACCATTTGGAGCAAATTGGATGACCTAGAGGATATTATGCTAAGTGAAATAAGTCAGACAAAGAAAGATAAGTACCATACAATTTCATCTATATGTGGAATCTAAAAAACAAAATAAAAGAACAGTCAAAACTTATAGATACAGAGAACAAACTGATGGCCAGATGGGAGGGAGATTAGTGGACTGGGTGAAAAGAGTGAAGGAATTAAGAAGCACAAATTGGTAGGTACAAAATAGTCATGGGGCTATAAGGTACAGTAAAGGGGATATAGTCCGTAACATTGTAATTTATATATATGGTGCTAGGTGGGTACTAGACTTACCGAGGGGAATCATCTTGTAAGTTATATAAATGTCTAACCACAATACTGTACACCTGAGACTAATATAAGATGTCTAGTTTGTCTGTTGTCCCCACCCCATTTTTAAAAAATTGCTCCATTGTTTAGTCAGTGTGTTATCAATTTGTGTTTATTAAGTGAACAATTTTTAGTCATTTATAAATAATTGGATCTATTGATCCTATTTATTTATTAAAAATTCTGGCATTGTGGAATATGCTTTACTTTTAATTGTTATTGGTATTGCCTCCCCAAAAAACATTCTGTGCTTTTACTTCTAAAAAGTAAGTATCCAAAAAGGTTTTCACATATTATTAAAATGGTACTAATCACTAGAATATTATATAGCAGGTATTATAGTTTGGCTATTTATTTAATTACTAGAGGCCCGGTGCATGAAAATTCATACACACAGGGGGTCCCTCAGCCCAGGTTGAGCCCTCTCACAGTTTGGGACCTGTGGGGGATGCCCACCTGCTGGCTTAGGCCTGCTCCCCGAGAACAGATGATCTTAAATAATCATATCCTTGGGTAAGGATTTTTAAAAAGGTAATGGTCGCATAAAAATTCACTGCCGGTGGGGCTGAGGGGACTGAGGGACTCTGGCAGCAGGTGCGGGGCATGGCCGGACCTGCCTGGAGGCGGGCCCAGCCGTGCCGCATGCCTGCCGCCCCCTAGCAGGGCTGAGGGGACTGGGTGCCGCTATCTCGTGGCTGTGGGCGCCACCATCTTTGTGAGTGCATGACAGTCAATTAGCATATTACCTCTTTATTATATAGGATACAAGTGCAAAATTAAAAGTTTAATAAGATGACTTCTGTTATTTTACCATTAAGTGAAATTTTTAATTGGCTGATATTCTTTTTTATGTTAAAGATGCATTTCTATTTTTTAAAAATATATTTTTATTGATTTCAGAGAGGAAGGGAGAGGGAGAGAGAGAGAAACATCAATGATGAGAGAGAATCATTGACTAGTTGCCTCCTGTACGCCCTCTACTGGAGATCAAGACTGCAACCCGGGCATGTGCCCTTGACCAGAATTGAACCCAAGACCCTTCAGTCCACAGGCCAACGCTCTATCCACTGAGTCAAACCAGCTAGGGCTGCATTTCTATTTTTAATGAGTACTACTTTATAAATAAGCTGTAACCATTGAATTAAAAGACATAATCATTTACATTTTATCTGTTTGACACATATTATATGAAGAGACTTCCTAAAATGGCACAATCCATCCCACCATAATTTAAATCATTACCTTACATCTAAATATAGTCATTGTTATTACTCCCTAAATGCTTAACTATTGGATTTTTATTTTTAAAACTTTTAAATGGAGTACATGAAATCTCTATTTGAGACTCTTCCTGTACCCAGTAGAAATAAGAATAAGATTTTTAGAGATACATAAATCTTTACAATATTAATATATATTACAGATTTAACTTTTGTATTACTAAAATATTCATCTTGAAAATGCATATTTCCCACTTTCTAAAGTCATCTAATTTATTTAAAGAAGCCAAGCCTTTCACTTTACAAAAATTTTAAAACACTACACTAATTTTTATATTATTTTTATTTTTATATACATTTTCCAAGCCATTTTGATTCTATTGATACAATATGCAGATAATTTATTTAATATTTTTCTTGAAAACATAGTCAATAAAGCTCTATTATTTACTTAAAAGGAATAAATAAGAAGGTAAGCTTTTGTTTTTTTCCCCCACCTGCCAAAAGAATTTCTCAATTGATTTAATAAAGAGTATTTCCTTAGGAAAAACTAAAATAGAAGTTAGTGATATTAAATTGCCAAGAGACTTACAATTTATTTTTTTCTTAAATTTTAAATTGATTATGGATTTATTTGAATTTCTTTTACACATTCCCATTTTCATTTATTTCTGCCCCCCTTCCCTTTATCCCTCTGGAATAGGGAAAGTTTCTTATAAAAGTAAAGTCCTACAGTTTCAAATTTCCCATCTTTAAACTATATTAGGCAATTTATGGAGTCAATTTTTGAAGCCAATTGCAATAGTACGTTTAAGATTCTTGGATGAAAAAACCCTTTATAAATAAAATTTTCCTGTTCAAATATAGAATGTCTCCTGCCCATATGAAGAGAAATTTAAGCTACTATGTAAAGGATGTTAATTCTTTTGGTGCTTATTTCTTGCAAAGTTTGCTTTAAATCCATTTCTGAATATATAGGAATTTTCCTTATATTTGTATCAATACCTTTTAATGACGTTATCTCTCAGTTGATATTTTTTAAGTTTTACTAAAGATATTTTAAAGTTTGATTCTCTTAGTGTTACAAAAGAATAACAAACCTGGTTTCCTTATGTTCACTATATTTATTTATTTATTTTTCATAAAAAAATGTGGTCTTGAAACAGTTTGACCTTCTTTTGTGTAATGATTTTTTTTTATGATGATCTTGGAATTGATGTAAAAACAGGCCATATTTATTTCCCTAGAACCACAATTTTGGTGTTTCTCTACTTTTTCTCTCTCTAACCTCAATTTCCAGTTTCTTAACTTTCCACTTTTATGACCTTGTTTCAAACTCACTTACCCCTAACTAGATCTTCAGCTTAGCCTTCCCAGCAACCCTCATGCCATAGTAAATCTCTCTTTATATAGATACATTTTTATATAGAACCAGACGGAACAAATCATCTTCCTCACAACCAGCTCAGACACTCTATTCTCCCCCTTCAGTTTCTAAAGTAAAATCCAAACGTCTAGTAGGGTATTCCAAGGTAGCAACTACCCCAACTAATATTTGCTAATTTCCTTGGCCTAGATTTTCTACTCCTGTAGAATGAATGAGATTTCTCTCTAGTCCTAATATTACTGTCCAATCATGGTCATTATCATCACCACTGATCACTAACACAGATCTTTACAATCACACTAGTATCTCCAAACTTCTGCATATGTCACTAAAAGATAACTTTTCTTTTTTCTCCAACGAAATGCACTTAAAAATGTATTCACTCTACACTATCTTTACTGGCTAAATTATTTAGTATATATTTTCTAACTACCTTAAAGATTTAGATATAAAATTTCCACAGAACTGTAATTAGTTTGCGCTCATTTGCAAGATGCTTCCTTTTCTTAAAAAAAAAAAGAAATGAAAAATCTTTATTGTTTAAAGTATTACATATGTCTCCTTTTTCCACCCATTGACCTCTTCTAGCCTGCCTCCCCCGCCCCCCCCCCCAGGTTTTCACCACCCTATTTCTGTGTCCTTGGGTTATGCATATATGCATATCCAGTGGTTCTCAACCTTCCTAATGCCGTGACCCTTTAATACAGTTCCTCATGTTGTGGTGACCCCCAACCATAAAATTATTTTCGTTGCTACTTCATACCTGTAATTTTGCTACTGTTATGAATCGTAATGTAAATATCTGATATGCTATATGTGTTTTCCAATGGTCATGACCCACAGGTTGAGAACCACTGAAACTCTTTGGTTGATCTCTTCCCACCCACCCACCCTTTCCTGAGGATGCTTCTTATTTGTATGTTTATATAATTATTTTTTAAAAAATTGATGAGGAGCAACTAAGATGGCGGCATAGGTAAACACCGGGAAATTATTGCCTCACACAACAATTGAAAATTACCGCAAAGGACTGAGCAAACATCATCCAGAAAAACAGGAAGGCTGGCTGAGTGTAAATTCCACAACTAGAGGGAAAGAAAAGCACGCTGAGAGCCAGAGGCGCTGCGGAGGTGAAGTGCAGAGGTACGGCGGCGCGCGCGCGCGCGCGCGAGGAAAGGGGGTGGCCCCTGAGGACGCGGCTGTCTTTTTGAATCACAAACTCCCGACGGCTCTGAACTCCGGTTCCGGGAAGTCTCTGGGGACCCAGGTCTCATACGGGGAGAAGCTGGTCTGTCCGGCAGCGAGCGAGCTTGAGGGCGGCTTTCCCTCAGAGGTGCTTGCAGCCGTTACCGGAACACTGAGATGCGCGACTCCGGGCGGAGAATCGGCCATGGCCGCTTTCTCCGCCCTCTGACTCCCTGAGACCCCGCCCCACCCAGGCTGCGGCAGAGGCTTTTGCATGTGAATGTACCTAACTGCAGCCGAACCAGGCAGACCTGGAACTTCCAAGAGAAGGCCCAAGGCCCCGCAGCGGCTTGCATTGCTTCACAGCTGAGCCTCTTCGTGGTTCCTGCTGTGTGGCCTCAGGCAGAGGCTGAATTAGCACCTCCTTAGATCCAGGAGCCACTGTACCCAGTGGTCAGAGGGGGTCCATCCAGACTGCAACTCCTCAGATCCATAAGGGACGCACTCAGGGAGCAGACTCAGTGAGCACCAAAGCCCCACTGAAGCAAG